AGGATGTGTCTAGCCTTATCCCAGCTTGGGGTCCATCCCAGAAGGCCCCCTCCATTCAGCTGCAGACACAAAGCACTGTAGAGAACACACAGGCAGGTGACATGGGGACACTGCCTGCACCAGAAGTGCGGCTGGTGGCTCAGGGCACGGTGACCTGCTGCTCACACAACAGCAAGCAGAGAGGAAGACAGCTTGTCATCACAAGAACCCAGTCCTGCCCACTCCCCCAGCAGGAAGGGGTCAGTTAGCCTGCCCCAGCCCCTCATTCCTCTTCCCAAAAGAGGAATTTTGATTCCCCAAATCACCCCTCTCTCCTTGGAACCCACAACCAAGCTTACAGACAAGAGTTGGCTTTATTCACGGACACGAGAGCAGCTGTGTCACTGGCAGCTGCCCTCGTACTGCACATCCAGCGACAGGAGCGGGGTGATATCCATGCCACGGCACAACACAGCGTCGGCACTATGGGACCTCAGGGAGGGCGCGGGCACCGTCACCACCCAGCAGGCTGGGGAGCAGGCTTGGGCACCAGGGGTTCACAAAGGCAAAAGACCCGTCTACCCATAGAGATAAATATAGATATATATATATGTAAAAAAAAAATAGTTCCACAATGACCAGAGCAGAACCACAGGGACATGCGTGCAAGCCGAATGTACAGCAGCCCGCGAGCCGGTAAACATGCTTTGTACAGACACAGACACACCGGGATGCAGCCAGGGTTTATGGCGCTGGGAGGGATACAGAGCAATAAACCCGGGCTACACGCACGCGCTCACACACACACACACACACTAGCCCCTGCGGGCAGTGCCCATGGCTCAGGGATGTGCCAGGGCTTGGGGTCTTGGACACAGGGGGGGTTTATCACTGCTAGACACAATACAGAGACACGGACACTGTCCCTTGGAACGGAACTGGAGGAAGAACTCGTGAGTGAACAGGGCAGAAGCACCCCTGCTCCTCCTCGGCACGGAGGCACCGGCCAGGGCCAGCTGGGGAGGAGCAAGGGGCTACCGCCAGTTCGTTGTGCTGCTGGTGGAAGAGGCGAGGATGGGGATCCTTTATGCCTCTGGCTCGTATTCCTGGTATTCCTCCTGTGGGGAAAGAAAGAGCCCTTGAGAGAGCTCCTGAAGCCCCTGTCCCACCCAGACCCACAACAGCCTGCCCATGGGCTGCAGGACTGCAGCTACCTCGGAGCAGGCAGGTTCCTGGCTTTGCTCCAGATAGGGATGGTCACTGGCACACTGAGCACCTGGCACCGTGTGCCCTCTGCAGTGCCCTGTGCCCCATCCCCTCACCTGCGGGGGATCCTCGTAGTTCTCCCCCTCTGGCTCCAGCAGCGGCTCCACCAGCGGCTCCTCAACAGCCTCCTGGGCCACCTCCTCTGCCTGGGGGTGAACCGGGGGTCAGACAAACACACACAGCCCCCCCACACCACACCTACCCTCCCTGCCCCTGGCACAGACCAGCAACACACCCAGGATACTGAGAGCTCCACATGGGGAGCACCAGTGGGGCCCAGTGTGCACCCACCAGCCCACCTAGCTGGGAGGAGACAGGCACGGAGCCATGGGAGCAGGGCTTAAGTGTGCGTGTCCCTGAACTGCTCCCAGCCTCATTCCCCAGCAGGCGAGGGGTGCTGGCACCATGTGGGTCCCAGGCACTGGGAGCATCCTGCATCCCTGGCAGTGACGGCGGTGCTGGGTAACCCCTCCCCGGCGCTGGCAGGAGGGAAAGGCGGGCAGCTGATCCCCCCCAGTGCAGCGGCGCTGGCCTCATTTCTTCAGCTGATGCTATTTTGGGCTAAGCTGGAAGCCGACAGCTCGTGGGGGTGGCGAAATGTCCCTGCCCACCCCTCCGCTCCCGCAGCTGTCAGGTCACCTCACAGCCGCTGGAGCAATGCCCCTCGGGTCCCGCATCGCCAGCGCCATGCAGGAGCCCGCACACGCACACGTCCGCAGCAGCATGCTCGGGGCAGTAACGCCTGCGTGCCCTGGACCTTTGGGACCCTCCCGCAGGGCTGGGGAGCAGCCAAAGGGCTCCCCACTGAGCCTAGGGACATGGCAGCATCCCCATGGGCATGGCAGTAGCCTGGAGGCCTCACTCACCTTCAGGTCCGCAGGGAATTCCTCCTTCTTCACCAGCCCGGTGGCTGCTGCGATGTTGCCAGCGCCCGAGAATGCTGCTTCACCCAGCTGGGACGCCTGCTCCTTTGCTTTCTCAGCCACTGCAAGAGTCGAGGGTGCCCATCAGTGTGCCCCCCCCCGGGCCAGGGAGAGGGCTCCAGATGCAGCTCCGTGCCCCACAGCACCTTGGAGGGCTGGTGGAGAACTGCTGGCAGGATCAGACCCTCGCCATATCCCTATCCTGGTGCTGGGGAGGGGAGGGGGCAAGGATGCTGTTCTGCAGCTGGGCAGGGAGTGTGAAGAGCCGCTGCAAATCCTTCCTTGCGGGCCCTGTTATACAAGAGGCTTTAGCTGGGTGACATCAGCCCCTCAATTAGCCTCTGATCCTGTTAGCACAGCCACACTCTTGGGGCCAGAGGGGTACCATGGTGGGGATCCAGAGGGGACCATACCTGAGGTGACACCTTGCACCACGCCTTGGGTTTTACTCCCTGGGGGCAGAAAGAGACAGAGACAGGGTTAGAGGTGCTGCAGCTGGACTCTGCACATGCAGTGCGTGGGATGCTGGTAGGGCTCTTTGAGGCTGCATTCTGCCCTGCACCAGGGCAGCCGGGAGCTGAGCACCCGCACAGCTCCCTGCAAGGCTTCCCTGATCCCTGCAGGAGCCTGGCCTGGGGCAGCATGGGGCCTAACGCTGTGCCAGGGCAGCCAGGCAGGGTGCACACCAGCTGTGCTGCTGAGCAAAGCCTCCCACTGGAACTGGGATCCATACCCGGAGCTGGGGCCAGCATGGCACGGGAAGCTCACAGCCGGAGCAGCCCAGGGCTGGGAGCTGCTTCTGGCCATGCCACCCTGCCATGCTCCGTTCAGGTGGAGTGACACAGCCCGCAGATGCCAGGACACCCCGCGGGATGGGAGCAGGTGTCTGCCATGGGGAAAGACAGGGGCTGGACAGCTCCTGCAGGATGAATCCTCAAGGCGCTCCTGGAGCTGCTGGACCCTTCCACAGCACGCAACCCAGGGCAAGCACCCACCACCGCCCCGGGGAACAGCTCCGGGGCCTCAGCCCTCCCGCAGAGCTGGTGCCCTGTGGAGCGGGACGGAGTCAGAGCGCTGCGACCTCCTACCGCTGCGGGCAGCACGGCCTCAGCTCCCTCCCAAGAAGCCCATCACCACCGCGGGCACACTGCCTGCCCGGAGCTGCCTCCTCCCCGCCAGCCATGGCTTCAGGATTCGGCCCCGAACAGACCCCGGCCCCGAGGGGCAGCGCGGAGGGACCTGCCGCCGGCGGGATGCAGGGGAGATGCCGGCAGAGCCGTGGTGTGGGATGTGCTCCAGGACACGGCCTCTCCAAGGGGGGCAAACGTGTTCCCAGCCCCTTGCTCCAAGGTGGGGACATCCCAGCACAGGGATCACCATCTTCACCACGGTCCCTCTGCGTTCCGGCCCCAGAGCATCCTCGGTGAAGAGCCACGGAGCCCTTGGGCTCAGACGGCCGGGAACCAGGATGGGTTCCCGCGGGTCCCATCCCCTCAGCCTGGGGACCAGCCCTGACATTGCCCCTGCCCGCGGGGCCCAATCTCCTGCCTGCACCCGCCCTGTGGGCAGGGCACTGCGGCCACCGGCTCCTGCCCCGGGACACCCCGCCGCAGGCCGGCCGTGACGGGGGGAGCGGGGCCGGTGACAGTGGGGCGGCCGGGAATGAGCAGGAGAACGCAAGGGCAAACGCAGGATCCGGCAAGGGCAGGCAGAGGGGACCGGCAGGAGCATGCAGGGCAGGGGCATGCAAACAGGGATGGGCAGGGATTAGCCGGGGGGCTGGCAGGGGGCTGGGCAGGGGGCAGGCAGGGGGCAGGAAGGCTGAGCCGGCCCTTACCGACATAGAGGACCCCTTCCTTGGTCTTCTCGGCAGCCTCGGCCACCCCCTGCTTGGTCTTCTCGGCGGCGGCGACCACCCCCTCTTTGGCCTTGGACAAGCCCTTCATGAACACCTCCATGGCGGCTCTGCGGGGAGAGGCCGCACGGCTTCACCCCGCCCCGGCCCGGCCCCGCTCCCGCCCGCCCTGCGCATCCCCGCGCATCCCGGAGCCCCCGGCCCCGCCGCCCTCCCGCCCCGGGCCCCTGTCCCGCCGCCCGCCCGACCTGGCTCGCTGTCGGCGGGGACGGACGGGCCGGGCCGAGCCGGGCCGGGCTGCGGCGGGGCGGGCTCAGTGCGGCTGTGCCGGGGCCGCGCCGCGCTGCGCCGTGATGCGCGGGGGGGACCGCGCGGCGCCGGGCTGAGCAGAGCCGAGCCCGGCTGCCCCCGCCCCGCACGGGCTCCTTTCCCTCACGGCTCGGAACTGTGGGACGGTCACATCAAGTCGCACTTGCTCCCTGTTCCCACCCGTCCTGATCCCATCCCGCGCTACCCCCCACGCTATCCTGTCCTGGTCCCCATCGTGTCCCATCCCCATCCCACCCTCTCCCTCTCCCATGTCCTCCCGGTCCTGATCCCATCCGCTCTACAGGCTGTCCCTGTCCCATCCTGTCCTCATCCCACCACCTCCACGTTCTACCCTCTCTCTACACCATTCCTGTCCCTCATTCCACCCTGACCCCATCCCATCCTCATCATGTCCTCTCCCCATCCCATCCCCACCCCTCATCCTGACACTACCCCACCCTATCTGTGGACCACCCTGCCCTACCTCAAGGCACACCATCTCGAGCCCACCCCACGCTGTCCACACTTTACCCCATCCTTCCCCCCATCTTGATTCCATCCCACCCTGACCTCCGTCCCCCAGTGCCCTGCCCTATGGGGGATCCCCCCAGCTTCCTGCCCTACAGGAGGGGCTAGTCTGCCACCCCCACCCCCCCCCGACCACACCTCCCTCCCGCCCCACCAGCTGCAGCTGGGGCTGCCTCATCCCACCCGCCTGTGGTCACTTAAGAGCCGGGGGCTGCTGGGGGTAGCCTGTGCTGGGCACGATGGCTGCTGGGGAGCAGGTGAGTGTTCCCTGAGGGCTGGGCCAGGCAGCAGAGCCCGGGTAGCCTTGCTGTCCCCCCAGGGCTCCCCCTGTGGGTCCGTGTCATGGTGTGCGGGTGGCCATGGGACTCCTGGTGCTGTCCCTCCTTCCCCAGCGCAGGCAAGAGGAGCGGCGTCGGAGGAGGGCTCAGCAGCAGGAGCTGCTCCTGGCAGAGAGCCTGGGCAAGCACCCCCTGCAGAACAGGTATGGAGGGGCCTGGCTACAGGCAGCTCCTCCCAGCATGATGCTGGGGCTGGAAGGGGCTCCAGCAAGGCTGACACGCCCTCCCCATGTTCTCTCCCTGCCCAGGTGGGCACTGTGGTTCTTCAAGAACGACAAGAGCAAGATGTGGCAGGAAAACCTGCGCCTCATCACCAAGTTCAGCACTGTGGAGGACTTCTGGGCGTGAGTGTCCCACGGGTGGGCAGTGCGTCTCCTCTGGAGAAGCCCTGGGTAGGGGTGGCTGGGACAGAGGACTATGCTGGGGGCCACTGAGGCACCTCTTTTCATCTGTGTCTCGTGTCCGTCCTGTGCAGGCTGTACAGCCACATCCAGCCTGCCAGCAAGCTCTCATCTGGCTGTGACTACTCTCTCTTTAAGGTACAGCATCCCCTCAGCTGCAGTCCCCTCTGAGGGCCCCCCTGCAGCACCCAGTGTTATGGGGCACACTGAGTGCCAGTGGGGCTGGCAGGCCACCGCGGCCATAGGGTGGGAGGGGAAGCCTGGTTGAGTGCTTGGTGCACCCAGCCATCCCTTTGCCCATCCCTAGGATGGCATCGAGCCCATGTGGGAGGATAGCCAGAACAAGTGTGGTGGGCGCTGGCTCATCACTCTGGCCAAGCAGCAGCGGCACACTGAACTGGACCGTTTCTGGCTGGAGACGGTGAGTGTGGCCCTGCTTGGTTGTCTGCGGGGTCCTAGCAGTAGTGCTCCCACTCTCCCAGCACCAAGCCCTCATGGAGACTGTCCTGAGCTTCATTCTCCTCCTGGCAGCTGATGTGCCTCGTCGGGGAGATGTTTGATGATTACAGTGATGAGGTGTGCGGGGCCGTCATCAACATCCGCGCCAAGGGGGACAAGATCGCCATCTGGACCCGGGAAGCAGAGAACCGGGAAGGGGTCATCCACATCGGGTAATGCAGCTTCATGGGGTAGGGGTGGGTCTGGCGAGAGTGGGGTCCCTGGGCAGGCAGCTGGTGGGAGAAGTGATGCTGCCCATTCATGCATCCCCTTCCCTCCTCCAGGCGCATCTACAAGGAGCACCTGGGCCTGTCACAGAAGGTGGCCATTGGGTACCAGGCCCATGCAGACACAGCCACCAAGAGCGGCTCCCTCACCAAGACCAAGTTTGTAGTGTGACTGCAGGGGGAGCAGGGCATTGCCCATGGGGTCCCCTGTCCAATCCCACAATGAACAGCTGCAGATAAGCATTGTCTCTGTGTCCAGGGCTCTGGCACGCTGGGGTGGCTCTTGCTTTGGGGGTGGGGTGTCTGCTGGGAGGGTGACTATGTGTTGCCATATCCTGTATCTGCCTGCTGAGTGAGCAGGGCCAGGAGCACAGAGCTGCCATCACCCAGGCATCACTGCAGGTTTGGGCACTGTGTGATCCCTGCCTCCCCCACTGCCCCTCTCCCTGGGTCTGCAAGGGTATCCCTCTGCTCTTGGGAACCCTGGATAGTTCCTGAAAGGATGGTGGATGCTGTCCTCCCCTGGTTAAGGCACGGGCACAGCTCACTGCCCTGTGCACCTGCATGTGGGAGGGGGGTACCAGAGCCCAGCTCCTCTGCCTCAGCTCAGTTTGCTTGCTGGCCTCCATCCCTCCCAAGAGCTTCACATAGGTAGGACACAGCTCTACCTGTTCAGGCACAGCAGCTCCCTGCAGAGTCAATGTCAGGGCTGTAGTACAGCATGGTCCCCAAGCTGCCCACCTTGGGCTGTGTTTGCCCACATCCCCTCTCATAGGCACTTGCAGCATAGGTGATATGAAGCTTATTTATTTCCCAAGGGTTTATTGGTGTCAGACCTGCAGGTTCACAGCCCCAGGCCATTGAGCCCTGTAAGTCTGGCTCCTCCTTTCCCTGGCCCATGTCCTCTGCTGTCCTTCCTGTCTGTCCTGGTCCTGTTTGTAGAAGGCCATCCCCTTACTCCAGCGCAATCCATGCTGTTCTTTAATGTTTCGTTTTGGTTTTGATTGTAAGGGCCTGTCCTTCCCCCATGCCTACACAGATTCTTGAGGTGGAGCTGCCTGTTCCCCTCCTGACAGTGCTGGCTGTGCTTCTGCCCTCACTGCAGATCTTCCTCAGGAGGAGCCTCCTCCAGCAGCACCCCGGCAGCTCCAGCTCGGCCCTCATTGCATCCTGTCCCGGGCAGCACATCCAGCCCATCCCTGCCTCCCGGTGAGCCCAGAGCTGGAGCCACTCAGCCCTAATGCTGCGTGGTGGCTGTGCTGGCTCAGTGCTGCCCTACCTGCTCCCGGGGCTGCTGCCTGCACTTGGGGTTGCAGAGAGCTGGTCCCACAGCAGGGCAGAGTCTTGACAATACCTCTGCAAGTGCAATGGGCGAGGCATGTCCGTGCCGTCTGCCAGGCCCTGTCTCCATGTCCTTGCATCATGTGCTGCCCCTGGGCTGCTTCTCTGCGCTGGTACAACGCGGACAGGACCCTGCTGCCCTCCCCTGTAGGACAACCAGGCTGGGGTGCTGCCGGCAGCACTGCCCCCAGGGCAGGCGGGGGGGATCAGCACTATGGGGTGTCCAACGCCCCCACGCTGGGGCTGCCTGCAGAGGGGAGAGGAGCCCCGGATCTGGCTGAAGACTGCGGCGTGCGCGGCGCGCTCCTCCCGCACCATGCCCGCACCGGCAGCCCGGGCTCTGCCTGCACTGCCAGGCCCTCGCCACGCGATGGCGCCGCTCGCCCGGCCTTGGCCGTCTCCGGCCCGGCAGGGCTGGCAGCCTGCCCTGCCTGCAGCGGGGCACCTCCTGCTCGCCCTGCCTGCAGTGGGGTACCCTCCACCCTGTCCTGTCTAGGGTGGGGTGACAGAGCTGCCCCTCACTCCCCAAGGTGAGAGGCACACAGGAACCACGTGTGGGGCACAGGCTGTGGGTCTGGCAGGGCTGAAGCTGGAGGGGTTGATGGAGGAGGGAGAGATGCATGGGATCCAATGCACGGTTAATGGCCTCTGTGACCACCATCACCATCAGTGGCAGCATGAAGTGAGTGAGGGCCAGGAGCTGCCTGTCCCTCTGCCCCTTCAACCCACTCCCCTGCCTACCATATTCCCCCCATAGCCTCACACCTGGCTCTGATGCTGAGTCTCACCCCAGCCACTCTGTCCCTGTCCCCTCACCCCCACGCTGGGTGAAAGGGGGCTGTGCTCTGTGCCCCACTATGGGGGTAGACTAAGGTTACCTGGGGGGTGGTGGCAGAGGCTGCTGCATGCTGCTGCAGTTCGTTGCCATTCGCATGCAGCCGCGGTGGGATTTCATTTGATTGGAAAAGTAATAGGAGCCATTTATCTCCATGGCTTTATGGGCTCCTGGCAGCCCTGCAGCCCAGACAGCCTGGGGGGCTGGCAGTGCCCACCTGCAGCCTACCCTTTGGGGGCACAATGGCTTCTATCTTTAGCTCCTGCACCCCAGGTTCCCTGCCTGCAGGATGAAGAGTGCTGGGAGGTTGGGTGTCTCGGGGACCCCTGGGTGGGTGCAGCGGTTGCCAGGAGCACCCAGTGAGCACAGCAGTGGCAGGGCTGCCCCAGCCTGTCTCATGCCGGGCAGATGTCCCAGCTGGCAGCCGAGCTGGCAGCCCTGTCAATAATAATAATTAAAAATTAATACTAATCAAAAGGGAGAGGCAGATGGCAGCAGACATGCGGCAGGGCTGGGGGGGGGGGGTGGGGGGGTGACGAGGGGCAATGGATACTGGGAGGCCAGCAAGGATGGGGATGGGAGGGACCAGGGGGCAGTGCAGCAGGAAATAGAGATCAGGGTGGTGTGGGGCACAGCAGGGATGGGGGGGGGTGAGGACAGCAGCATGGCACAGGAGGGGATGCATGTCCCCCTCTCCTGTGTGCGTTGCAGGGTCACCTTGCCGGCAGCTGGCGGGCAGCCCGTGCCTCAGCTCTGCAGGCTGCCAGCACGGCCTCTTCCTGCACCACCAGTTCTGACGGCTCCGGCAGCAAGGACAGATCTTGCCCCTGACATGCATCCAGTGCCAGGATGGGTGCAGGCACTCATCTCATTGCAACCAGTGGGTGCTGCAGGGTTAAAATCCCCCAGAGTAACTGGGGAAGGAGCTGGCTCCATGGCAGAGTGTGTGGGCCGGGAAGAACAGGCAGCACTGGCTCACCGTGGGAGTGGGCAGGCAGCGCGGCTGCGGGCGCTGGGACTGTGCCACGGCTGTTCCTTCAGTACCTGCACCCACCTCCCTGCCCCATCACCCGCATTGTGGCCAAAGAGATGCTCTGGGACCTGGAAGGGGGCACCTGGGCAAGCAGGAGACCTCCACCCCTGAGTACCACCAGCATTTCTGGGTGGATAGGACCCTTGGAGGTACCCCACACCCTCCATACCCACCCTGCAAGGCCCTGAGCTCACCTTCCATCTGGAATCACCATGGCAGGCAGGGAGGGGTACCCAGAGCGAGGGGTACCTACAATGCACCGTTCCCATGACAACCTCCCTGGAGATAGCCGCCGATGCGGGAGATGTGGGAGGTGAGGGGCCCATGGACCCCTCTGTGCTTGGGCTTCTGCACCTGGCTGCACCCGTGGGTCTTGCATGTGGCCTCAGGCTCTGCCTGCCCTATCCTGACCCTGCAGCATGGGGCAGGCAAGCATGGCAGTGCTGGTGCTGTCTCCCTGTTCTGGGCTGTTCTCCTACAGCTGGTTTGAACAAGGGGGTGATTGCAGAGGAGCTTTGCTCAGTGGGGTTTGCATGGAGGGGACTGCAGGGAGCGAAGGGGTTAAATGCCTGCAGTGCCATCCCCAGTGCCAGTAGCAGAGAAGGGGGAGCGGAGGACAGCATCTCCTGCCCTGTATAGTGGGAACGTGTACCTGAAAAGGGTCCCTTGCTGTCACTTCTCATCTGGATGGCAACCAGGCTCTGCAACACGGCTGAGCACTTTCCTTCTCCACAGGGACAGGCTTGCGCTTCCCACTTGTCAGAGGCAGGCAGGAAAAGGGAGGGGGGGGCTCCATTAGCACCCCCACATCCTCCCAGCATGGCACAGGGACCAGTCTCTCTTCAGGTTTGGAAGGAGCTGCTGCCAGCCCCAGGACTTCTGGGGCACAGAGCAGACAGTGGGCAGTGCCACCAATGCCTGTCCTTTCCCTCCTGACCCTGTGCACCCTGGTGTCCTCTCATGAGGGGCTGATGATGCTGAAGCCCACAGCCACCCCCCTGCCAGCACCCAGCCGCGGGGCTGCCGGACTCCCCATCCCTATCCCTGCCCAGCCCCACGTCCCTGGCTGGGAGGGCTGGTGTTTCCCGGGCGGTCGATGCACCCATCGATCCCGCGCAGCTCCGCCGGCTGCTCTCCCACCGCCCTGCTAATTAATTGCTGCTGCTGCTGCAGGAGCACTGGGTACCAAGGTGCCGGGGCTGCCTGCGCCCTGCCCTGCCTGCGAGCTCACCACCCTTGCCCTACGCATGGCCACTTTCAGCCCCAAAACCTGCCCATGTATAGGACACCTTCTGCTGCTCGCAGCCGTGTTCGCCCCAGCCAGATATGGGGACAGGGATGGGGACAGGGACGCTGCCTTTGTGCAGGTCTGTAATGAGGTTTCTGCTTGGCTGCCTGGGTAGCAAAATCCCAGTCAGAGGATGCAAAAAGCCCCTGGGAGCCCCATCAGCCTCCTGCCCCTGCTCAGCTTGGGGTAGATGGAGATGCCCCAGCACCCACAGTGCTGCTGGGGGGCATCAGCACCAGCTTCAGCCCAGAGCACCCTGGCTGCATAGGATGTGCTCTGGCTGGGAGCACTGGCTGGGATGGGCAGGCCAGTGGCTTCACTGCCTGTCCACCCCACTCCCCCGTGTCCCAGCCCCACACTGCCACTGGTGCAGCCACACCATGCCTGGGCTGGGGGTGCCAGGCCCACTCTTGAAGACCCCATGCCATGTGCCACCTCTGTGCCCACCCTCCCGTCCAGCACTGCCACTCCCTGGCACTGTCCGGTGAGGTTCTGGCACCGTGGCATTGTGTGTGCAGGACCCACGTGTGCAGGGTGGCACCGCACTGAGCCCCAGCCCCTCCAGGCACCCCATGGCAGCAGCAAATCCATCTCCTTGCACAGCAGGGAGCAGCCCTGTGGGTGCCGAGGGCTGTGAGGAGTGGACTGTGCTGGGATGGGCTTTGCCATACGTCTTGATGGAGCCTGTCCTGCCCCTGGCACCACACACGATAATCTGCTCTTGCAAATGGCTAATTTTGAAA